ACCTAAGATGTGAAACCATAAGAATTCTAGAAGAAGATGTTGGAAAAATCCTTATAGACATTGGACTAGGCAAAAAATATACAAAGAAGACCCCAAAGGAAATAACAGCAACACAAAAAATAAATACATGGGACCTGAGCAAATTAAAAAGCTTCTTCTGCACAGCCAAGGAAACTATCATCAGAGTGCATAGACAACCCACAGAATGGGAGAAAATGTTCGCATGGCACATATCCAATAAAGTGCTGATAACTAGAATCTATACAGAACTCAGGAAAATCAACAGGAAAAAAAAATCAAACCACCCCATTAAAAAGTGGGCAAAGGACATGAACAGAAACTTTTCAAAAAAAGACAGACTAATCGCCAACAAACATATGAAAAATGCTAAACATCTCTAATCATCAGGGAAATGCAAATCAAAACCACAAGGAGATATCAGTTAACTCCAGTGAGAACGGCTTTTATCAAAAAGTCCCAAAACAACAAATGTTGGCATGGATATGGAGAGATGGGAACACTCTTGGTGGGACCACAAAATAGTACAACCTTTATGGAAAGTAGTATGTAGTACCTCAAAGAACTAAAACCAGAACTACCATTTGGTCCTGCAATTCCACTACTGGGTATTTACCCAAAGGAAAAAAAGACATTCTATAAAAAAAGACATCTGCACTTGGATGTTCATAGCAATACAGTTCACAATTACAAAGATGTGGAAACAACCCAAGTGTCCACCAATACATGAGTGGATTAACAAAATGTGGTATATGTATACCATGGAGTACTACTCAGCCATAAAAAATTATGAACTAATAGTCTTTGTACTATCCTGGATGGAACTGAAGCCCATTCTTCTAAGTAAAGTATCACAAGAATGGAAAGGCAAGCACTACATGTACTCACCATTAAATTGGTACTAACTGAACAACACTTATGTGCACATATGCAAGAAACATGGGGCACTGGGCAGGTGGGAGGGAGGATGAGGGGATAGGTAAATTCATACCTAATGGGTATGATACATGATGTCTGGGGGTTGGGCATGCTTGTAGCTCTTACTTGGGTGGTACAAAGGCAATATATGTAACCAAAGTGTTTGTACCCCAGTATATTCTGGGGAAAAAAAAAAAAACAAAGTATGATGTGCTTGTAAGGTCCAACCTTATTAACTTCAATGCCTAAAGCCTATTTCTTACTATCTTGATAATAATTTCTCTGCCTCTCTTTAGAAATGTTATAATTTTCTTTGGTTGGAACATAAAATATTGTTTTTAATATATTTATTGTCCATAGAGTTTTCTACAGTCAGCTTGAATCTGAATAAAAATCCAAATTCTGTATAATAATAATAGATGTTAATGAACATCACCCAAGACCATGAGGTACCTTGTGAATCATAAAGAAAATGCTAAAGGTATAATTATCTAGTTAATTATTGTTATTATTAAATTGGTAATCAAGGTCGTTCTCCTAACTGCAGTATTCAATTTAACCAGAAAGCCCTGTTCCCCAATTCAGGACAAATAGGATTTTGTTATATTTAAAGTGTCTCTACTGAAAGAACACCAAATATGCATTAAGTATTTTTCTAGTCCATCCTAAACAATCTATAATTATTAGTGTGATAAGATGAAGAATCTCTGAGTAGAAGAAGTGATCTGTTATAGTGTTCCCATTCTAAAAGCTAAGATCTATGAGTCTAAGATATCACTAACTTCATGTTGGCACACATTAGGAGGTAAGATCTATTTACTGACAAAATAAAGGAACATAAGGAATTCCTATTTCATAGCTAAAACCATATGGATATTAGTAAATTGACTGGTGAATTTAGTCTCACTAAATCTTTTGGAGAAGATACTTAAACATACCATCTATGATATGTGACACTAGATGTGTAGAGCATTGCTGAGAAGTGGGCTAAGGTCTGGAAGGCCTTTAATACTGCCCAGCCCATTTCTAAGCATATACTAGGAGAACTTATCTTGTATTTCACAAAAGACTTAGCTCAGAGAAGTGCTTTCACTCAATAAAATTGGAGAAAATGGATGTTAATAGATATCCAATAGATCAGAGGTCCTCAAACTATGGCCCATGGGCTATATGCGGCCCGCTGGGTGTTACTGCCCCCGCTGCCTGTCCTGCTTGGCAGCCAACTTGTTCTGGGCCCACTGTGCATGTGTGAAATGTGCGCTGCAATCTCCAACAGCCCTCCAACGGTCTGAGGGACAGTGAACTGGTCCCCTGTTTAAAAAGTTTGAGGACCCCTGCTAGATTATAGGAAAAAAATTCATAGAAGTTGAGGCTTTGAAAAGAAGCCATGAGCAAGGTAAAAAGTTGACACAGGCTGAAGATAAATGCTCTGGATACAAGGGAGTTATCAGGCTTTGACCTTAAAACCTTTAAGAGACATATAATTGCTTCATCTTTCTTTGAGGTCAGCTGGAAAGCAGAGAGATAGCTGGAAAAATAATATGCAGTTGTGAAGTGCACAGTTGTCAAAAAGTATTACAGTTACTGAGCTTTGGCTAGGACTGCATCCCAAGTTGCCAGAAATAGAATTGGTTTTCTGTAATAGCCCATTTCATTCAATTAGACAGTATAAATGACTAAAGATGAAATAGGTAGTTTACAATAAGATCTTGGTTAATTTAAACTAGAGTAGGCATATAGTAAGGTAGGCAGAAGAAAAGCAACTATGGCACACCAAATAAAAGTAAAAGTGGTCTACAGTGGCATGCCATGTTCAGGGAGTAGTGGGGATTGGCATAGGCCTGACTGAGTCTAGACACAATACACACAAAAAGGAATTAAGATATGATATTTGCCTTTGCAGCACAGTAATACTTACTGTTACCAGCCACCGACTTCAAACTACATATATAAGGGGAATTTCTGTTTTTAAGTAGTGCTGCTCTTTGAGATACGAACTGAATGAGATGGAAAGAGACAATTCCACATGCCGTGTGCAAGGAGGGAAAAAGAGAAAGAAGACGGTGCAGTGATGATACGACATTTTAGACATTTCAAGGTACAGTACTAATGAAATTCTTACTTCAGTTTTTATTGAAAAATCTCAGTTTTTTACGTAAAATAAGAGACCTCTTAGGATAGTTCTACTAGTGAGTCTGGAATATACTGCTCATTTTACAAACCTCTCTCAGTTCTTTAAAGGATATCTGGAGCCTGGAAGAATTAATGTACATGAGCGGTAAGGAATCATCTCATTTTTTCACTGCAGAATCAGGTTATTTAAGCATAAAACATCTGAAATTTTTTGAACTTAGAAGCACAGAAAGGTTTAGAGACCTTTGATTCTCTTAAAGGAGCCTGATAGGGCTATTAGAAGTATTAGTATGACTGCTTCTTGAGCTAGAGTGTATCTTGTGAGCTCTGGCTGGTACCTTAAAAGTGAAAAAGTAAGGAGAGGGAATACCTTCAGAACCCTACTGGAATTTCTCAGATACATTGGCAAAGTACTGTAGTTGAGAAGAGAATATCATCTTTTCCAAGAAATGAACTTCCTTGCTAGGTGACTAGGCTGACTTTCACAAAGGCTTATGAAGGACAGTACCACACAGAACGTAGAACTCAAATAAAAAGAAAATGAGCCCAATAATGTTATTCCTTTGGTACATGTTTTAAAATAAAATATTTACAATGATCTAAAGCATAAAGTTTCATATGATTGTCACATAATCAAAATATAATAAAAGCCATCAATCTATGAAAATATAGGCTTCTGCTACAGAGAATATACATTAATGTATTAAAAGTTCATATTACCCATAAAGTTCCCTCTTCTTCATTTAGGCAGGATAATGAATTGAGTTCTCTTCTCCAGGTGACTTTGCCTCTTTGACCTGCCATGGCCCAGTGCTCACTTTATCTGGTGATTCATTTTCAATAACTCCAACAGTATTTGTTCTGACATTTTAATTAAAATATGACCACTACCTCATCCTGATGATAAAATGGCCTATGTGTCAGTGAAAACTAGCTTTTCAGTGCCTCAGTGCACCTGAGGACCCCTCTAAGCACACGGTTCCTACTAAAGAATTTCACTCAGGTTCTAAACAATACATCATTTCAAAACAGGATCACTTTAACCATTAAGATTTATGTTCAAAAATCTAAAATGGCTAGAGGATGCCAAGTAATGAACATGTAATTTTCCCAGCTTGATTTAAAAAAATATTACATGCATTTAAAAAGTGAAAGTACAACAGAAAAAGTATAAAAAAAATTCAGAAATGATAAAGAAATTCAAGTTCAAGGTATAGTGGTAATCAAAGACAAAGGATAAACTATGACTCCTTATTAGGTTAAGAATATCATCATGTATTACAACTTTGTGATTAAATTTTTAACAATAATCCAAACATTTATATAAGACTTTCAAATTAAGAAAATATAAATATGAGACAAATTTAATTCAACACTAAAGTGAAGTTTTCAGATTGAAGGACTTTATTCGGGCAGTTCACAAAAAATGAATTATATTGAAATAAGCTCCTGAGAACAGAATAGTCTCTTGCCTTGTGTAACTATAGATGCCCCTTTATGCACCATCTCTGCATTAAGAAAACAGCACACATAGGAGATGAGTCTAAAGGAAATAGAATAGGTAGGAGGAAATAATGGTTGCCTGAACAACTGTAACATCCAAAGAAAATGAAGACATATGAATCAATTGTAAATGGGATTTCCTGACAGTCATTTCTGTGCATATAAGTATGTATGCATATAAATGACTTTTGCATTTACTTATGTTTTCATGTGTATGTGTGTGATGTATATTTTTCCCGGAGATTATAGAATGAACTTTTCCCCCATGTTTAGGCAGACAGTGGGCTCAACTATCTTAGTAAAACATGTGAATTGTTGTTGAATACATCACATTTCAGTTCGGGTTGCAGAAACCTTCACTATATACCAAAGAGAAGTATGATGGTTATATTACCTTTCTATCATGAATCAACAATTATTTTTCTTACCTGTCTCCATTTCGGTATATGGAATAAACAATTTCTGCACAACTGGTTCTAGATCTTCTCTTGCTGTTTTAGAAGATGTACAAGTCAAATGAACCAAGTCTGTTAAAAAAAAATATTTTGAGTTTTTGCTTATCACAAATCTGTTTTACTCATATTTAAGGAACTAAGCCGGTATCATGGGTAACAGAGGACTGAGAAGTAATGGCTCGTGTCTTTGAGGTGTTTATAATTTAATGATAGGAGGGCATGTAAAAACCTTAACATTGTGCTATATATGTTGAATAACAGCTAAAATGTGTTAACTAATAGCTAAAAGAAATCACACTAAGACCCAAGAAGTAACAGTTGATGTTAATTTTGTAAAACTAAGAGTAGAAAAGCTTAGAAAATCACTTATTCACAGAAAAGAACTTAAGTTATACTTATGATATTCCTAAAGAAGATGGATAAAGGATGGCTGAACAAAATATTAATAATTATGTAAAAAAAAGACTGAAAACAGAGTACTTAACTAAGAGAACACACTTCCTATACTTCAGACAGAATCCACTTATACATATGCTTTGCTGATAAGTTAACAAGAAATCATTTATGCATTACAGGGTTCTATAAAAACCTCTTGGGGTAATACTTTTGGCTTAGTTTTAATAACATATATACTTGAAAGCCCATAAAATGGCACAGATCAAAACAGTCTATAATATTTTTAGGAATTCAAAATCACTTTCCTTTTTCATTTACAGATTCATGGGGCCTGGACCCTGGAGAATATTTGCCTTAGAGAATACCATGTACAAAAACGGCCCTTCACTTCTGGTGAAATACTGTAGCCTAATTCTGTTAGAACTCCTAAAGGCCTATACACAAAGGTGAAGGAAGGATGAAAAGTTCTATGTATTATAAGAAATGATTAAGGGCATCCCTAAATAAGAGAAGTGCTTAAGGTTCCAGAAAGGGCTCACTTGGGGTGGGATAGAATAATGGCAAAAAGAATATATTAGAGAAGAGTAAATACTGAGAAATTCCTCCCCCTACTATACCAGTAAAAAGGTCCACCCACTTCTTTCCCAAGAGTTTATTTTCAACTATTAAAATTTTTTTTTAACCTCAGGAAGATAGGTCGAATTTTATCATGGAAGCCATTATTCGAATAAGACTCTCATTATCAAAATTCACCCCACATACAGCTACTCTAAATTATATCTAAGCATAAACTGAGGGACTCTTAATAACCAAGGAGCTAAAGTCAAATTTTATAGATACTCCCCTCCCAGGTCCACCAAAGAAAGTAATATTCTAGGATGGTTCCTGAATTATTTATGGCCTAATAAAATATCCACCTTATTTAAGCATGTTTTAACATGAATTTAACAATGATTCCCATTGGTTCTGAGAATGTAGGATATATGGTACTAATTATTTCAAAAGGAACTTTACAACAAAATTATTCCTGATTAAATTTTTCAAATGCTGTATGACTTTGGTGGGGTAGGGTTTAAACTCCCTGGATAATTACTGAAACAGGGTGTGCAACTACAAAGGTCAGAAATCCACACGAGTGAAACTGTCCTGTCTCTCCTCCGACAGTCTCATAAAATACCAATGCTCATGCCAAAGCTCTCAATTTTCCAGTTCTTTCCTGTTTGATTAATGTTTGTTAGGGAAAAAGCTTATGAACATGGATATAAATAACTATATTTTTAAAAAAGATCTTAATGGCTAAACTATTGGTTCTGTGAAACAGGATATATATTTTAAAGAAAAACACTTAAGCATATCCTTATGTTTCTTACCAACATAACGGAGTTCAGTTCAGGTAATGGCAGCAAAAATTTCTAGTAGTGAAGTCAAATTACTATTCTGTAATTAATAAATTTTACAGCATTTCTTAGAAAGACAAAGATAATCATAATCTGAAATCTAATGTCTGTACCTTGACTCTGCTTAGAGGGTACATTATTGATCTACAAATTTAAGGCATGAACAACTATTTTTCCCCCTACACTTCCTGCTTTTCCTATTACCTAGGTTACCTCCTTGTGTAGGTTACTCTGAATTAATTTTGGTCCTCTTCAAATTGGAGGTTGTTGATTGTGTTTAACTCAGATTATTTTCAAAATGTATTTATTAACCTTCATACCTCTTGTTAGTCCTTTGCTAGCTTTAGAATTGACTTTTCTTGTCAAATTCAACTTACATTTACAGTGAGTGTCCAATAATTGTTTGTTGCTATTAACAATTCACTTCCCTATTATGGACAAATATTAAATATTCACATGCTTAAATAGACATGCATGCACACATCGATATATCTATGTACATAGACTCATGGGGAATATCTATTTTCTGGTATGAAATGTAGGCAATTACCTGATCTACTAGGAAAGAGTCAAGGGAAGTACCATTAGATAATCTTCAGATTATTTTAATATATCTAAGAAATGCTTACAGATACATTAAGATATATCTATAAAATTCCCAAAAGAATTCAAATATCTAAAATTGACTATATAGCTGACATGCATATGTCAGACATTATTCTAAGTATATTACAAGTATTATTTAATTTCACCAGTGCAATAGCCAATTATTATCCTCATTTTGCAGATGAGAAAACACAGGGACAGTGAGTTTAAGCAGATTTCCCAAAGTCATGAAGAGCTAGGATTAAGAGAACTGGAATTCAAGCCCACATTGTTTGCCTGTAGAGTACCTGCCTCCAGTGGCTAAATGATATTGTGTAATTGTAATAATCTCCTGTAGAAGCTGTAGTCAGTCACTTGTCAGCAGTCTTCAAACTGGGATGTGCATGAGGATACAGGAGGACTTTTCACAAGGAATAATAATTACAAGGGAGTTACCAGACGCTCAATTCCACCTCCTTCCACTTTATTCAGTAATGTATTTCAAAAAATTTATTTATTGTGTTTAATAATTATTTATCTGTTGAAGGTTAGGGTCGAGACATGAGAACCTCAGGAGTGGGACAGGACTTTGCCAAAGAGCAACCTGTGGACATGTCAGTTCACAAAGGCTGCTCGACCTTGAGGGGGACATTCCACCTATCAGGGATGTCTGCAAACAGACCCCCATCTGAGGGCTATAGCCTGGATGTCTACAAACAGTCCAGGGCTGGGCTTATAATCCAAAGGGAGAGAATGATCAAAGGATGTCAGCCCAGTAGATAAGAGCAGTTTGCTATTCTAAACCTGAGGCAATGTTCCTATCTCTCTCCAGAGTTCATGTCTCAGTAAATAAGGGACTGGATAAAGTAGAAAGAAGTTGGTGGTCTCTTTGTTCCCGTTTAGATTATACCCTTTACTGCTAACCCACAAGCTTTTCACATGAAATCATTGTAATCTATAACATGAAAAAGAGAATAAAAATGGGTGCTAGACTTCAGTTAGTACCACCTGGCTCATAGGAATGCTGGTGGTTCTGTGACTTCCCCACACCCTTTCACCTTACTTTTTGTGTCCATGTCTTTTGTCTCTCCCATGTGTAGCAATGAACACTGCCTGGGGATACAGTTATATGGGGGGGTCATGAACCCCCAATATTTATCAATATTGCTATATATTTATGAAAGTTGGATTAATTTTATATAAATAATAATTGTATTAATTGTATTAACCAATTACCTATTGCCCTAGGAAATATTTAAAAATTCTATTTCTATTTTTTAAAATGAGTGATGGTGGGTATCACATATTTCTGGTACTTAGATACCACTGAATACATTCAAAAGAGTGCAACATTTATGTTAGAAATTATATTGTCATTATTTGAACCTTCTGATGAAAAATTATATTTGTCAATTTACAAGTATTCAAGGGGTACAGGAACAAAAAGTTTGAAGACCTTAAGGCTATCAGGTAAATGCAAAACAAAACTGTAAAACATGTTGTCACATTTCTACTAAAATTTAACTCTCTATGTCAAATACTTCTTTGCATCCTGTGACTTTAATTCTTTTCCACAAAATTAACTTACTGAATAAAGGCTAACAATGACCATAAATTAGATCAACAGGCAAACGCTTTCCTAAAAATATCACATTTCATTAGTACTAGTTGACAACTATTAGTAAAAATTGTGCAGGATGCAAGAGAAGTGGAAACATTTCCCACAGGCATCATGTGAGATTATAACTGATCGAAAAAAAAATTAAAATCCTAACTCTACCTTTTGTAAACTATGTTCCTTTTGCTTCATTCAGCAACTGCTTAAAGGACTAAAGGGCTAAAAAGATTACAAAATTTATTCTCTATTATAATTCTTCCATTGGCAATATACTTAGATTTGTATTGATATTAAAGAAACCTTTGTGTTTGCTTGGATTCCCAGAACATAAGGGTGGTCCTTAAGAAACTTTGATGAGTGGAGTGCCAATTATGATTAGCATCATTGAAAAAAAGCACCTGAAATTTAGAAGTCAGAAATCACTGAATACAAAACTAGAAATAACAACGTATTTTCAATTTTCCAAAACTTGAGTTTCAAACACAGATCTCTCTCACAAGTTGCTGTTTTGAAACAGTGAGAAGTGGGATTTCTATTGAGAATTTACACAACTATAATAATGAGCACATTAAAAGTGACAAATCTAATGTTCATAGTATAGGATGGCTATGTGGGTCTGGTATTACTTCTTTTTTTACATCTACTTGGCCAAGTCAGTGTTTATCTCTCTGGCTTCAGTGTCCTCTTGATTAAATAGAAGGGGTGGAATTAATTCATCTGTAAGATTTCTTTTAGTCTTAAGTTTTATGAAGATAATTCCTTACTCAACAGCCATAATTCTTTCAATGATGACAGGTTTTAAACCAAATACTAATGGCATTACAATGTGAATGTAAAACCAAGGAAATGCTTGCTGAAAAGGGTAGGAAATCTATTCCTCAAGTTTGTGAGGTTTCCATGCACAGCAGTCATTTACTCTATACGAGTAGGGGAAATTGTTCCAAATGTATTTAAAGAATCTTTATGTAAGGCTGGTCATCAAGTGTGTTTTGCTGTGCAACCTAACTAGAAATACATTTATAGAGGGATCAATGTGGGTCATAATTTATCTTTCCTGTAGGAATAAAGGCCATATG